TAATGGATGGTATGAGTATGTGGTTACTGGTTTTATCATGTGTTTCTTGCTGGTTTGCTCAAAAATGGTTCTCTCAAATTTCTTTATGTCTATCCCATCATAGATCTATCAAAAGGCCNTTTAGAAATCACACCATTGCAATTTAATGTGTACCCTTAATGTTTCTCCATATAGATTTAACAGAGCAGTTTGCATTAGACAATAATAGTTTACAAGAGTTTAAAGACCAAGTGAAGTTGATGTGTTTCTTCAACTCCAAAATTGGTCTTCAAACTTAAAGAAAAGACTTTAGCGTCATACCAAACCATATGACAAATACAACAAGGAAAGGAACAAGAGAATGGCATCAAAACTGGAAACTCGAAATCTTTTGGAGTCTCTAAATATTGTTAAATGCGACAATGTATTCGTTGTTAGGCTCCGAGGTGAGATAGTCTTCAATGAGGTTGTCCACGACACAAGGTCTTCAACAATTGTCATCATGATTGGTGAGTTTCTTTATCCCTTTCACCAACCGGTACCAGTTTCGCTGCAACGTTATTCACACATCAGAAAAAAACTTAAGCTTTTCTGTCCAAAAGGTAGTAGATTCAGATAAAAATTGTTTTCACTTACAAGCTCCCAAGTAAGACCCGGCATCTGAACACTACGAACAACCTCTTCTAACTTCTTCGTATCGGTTTCATCATCCCATGGCTTTACTTCCACAGTTCATTCATTCGTAGCTCAAATCGCAGGCCTTCCACATGAAAGCGAGAAATTCTACCTAAATCTCAATTCAGAGCGCAAAATCCGAAGATAACAACAGAGCATACATTCTTTCTGGCAGAAGATACTAACAATTTACTACTACAGTTAGTATCCCAATCCAAAGTAGAGAAATACTTGCTCTCTTTAGTCGCCCTAGTGTCCTTCACAGCTTCCCTCTCCTCTACTGTCATCCTCAGTCGCATCGGTGAAAATATCAAAATCATCAATATCGCCATCAGCTCCAGCTCCAACGGGTGTCTGTAGATAAGTGATCTAAGATCATTAGCAAGAAAAAAAGGTAGAACATTGGACATGTCCAGAGCATATCTTAATCATTCCCAAAAGCACCACAATCCACATTCCTCGACTTTAATTTGACAATATCAAAGAATTGTTCAATGCTATATATCTTCGCGTCATTGCAGATTTGACGGTGTAAAAAAACGGAATTGAAGTCAATAGAGCTTTTGTACCTCAGGCTTTGGAGCTTCAGATGGAGTACCGATCCTCACTCCGACGAAACAATATACAAAACAACTCATCAACCTCGAAATAGCGAGATGCTAAGCGAAGATTTCAGAAGATGAACAAGAGAAAAGGCAAACAAATGAGATTAGTACGAACCTTTTAGCGAGTTGGGAACCGTACCACTTGCTAAAATTGGGGAAACCATCGCGGGGATCCTCCAATATTTCAGCGTAAACGTTCACATCATCTGCTGAAAAAAAAATATTAAGAACAAGAGGGAAAAATAAAGTGATTGTACCTTGTTGGGATTAATAGATGATGGATAAAACCCTTTCTTGAGATTTCAAGAAGCAAGTCTTGAGCTTCTGCTAATTTTCCGGTCAGGGACAACCCATTGATGAGGGTATATAAATCCCCAAGTTTAAATCTATTCCACTTTTGAGCATCTCCTCAGAAAACCGGAAAGCTTCTTTTATCTTCCCCTTTGAGCAGCAACCATCAATTAGCATGTTATATATCCTTCAGTTTCATTTTGTTAACCTCTTTCTCAGCATTCTCCATTTCCCCCAGTTCACAATATCTCCCAAGTGGGTAACAATCTTCTTTTAAGCATTTCGTCGAACAACTGTTCTGCATCTTTAATCCTTGTCGCTTTACACAGCCCATCGATAAGGATGTTGTAAATAAACACAGTGGGAGAGATTCTATCGTAATGGTAAGTCCCGGAAGAGGTTGAGGAAGCAAGAAGAAGAGAAGACTGACGTGGCAGAGCCAGAGCAAGGAGTTTGTTACTAGATCGAGTGAATTGGAGTTTGTTAAGGGGGGCGGGAATATGGTTATATAGGTCCCTCTACATTTTAGAGTCTTTATCGGAATTTGTAGTTGGACTAGATTTCAGTGTATCTGGTTGTGATTTGTAATTCCTCTTTATTCAATAGAATCTTAACACGTGCTTCATGCGATTAAACCCTTACCTACATCGGATTGGATACATGAACTTGCTCGGACGAGAATCAGATTCAAAAACACATTTATAGTCACTCTGTATTTTTTTCGCTGATCGAGCAAAACTGCAAAANCGTTAACGAATCTGAGCTGGGAAAAATACCTTCATTCCTCAGTGCGAAGAACAAATCCACGCTTCAGGAATCATCTTCGATTCGGTTAGCAGAACAGAGAGAAGCAAGCAAGTAAGAGAAATCATGAAATTGAAGTTGCAATCCTGTCACTCGCACCAAAGACTTTGTAAACTTGTCCATACCAACAAAGTTTCACAAATGCACAAGCATATGGTGTTGCCCATCCTCTGCAACAACNGCACTTGTCGTCTTGTTGCTTTGTACTTGAACATCCATTTTGGTTGCCCCTGAAGCAAACAGTATGTCAACAAGAATAACTGGCAAGTACAGCTCCTTGATGAGATGTTTCTCGCTTGTCTTGAAACAGAATTTGATCGGTAAGTACGCCATAGCTTGTAAAACATGCTCTTCCTCAGTCTGCAAACAGTTTTGTACCNGCAACTTATTCATCATTATAGACCATTTCCAACATGTATAATCGGCTCATACACAAAGTGGTTCCTCTGACTTGCATCAACCATAGCATCATCAGCAAACCTTGCACGGAATACAGTCTGTTTTGGGGCATCGNCTGTCCTTTCTGCTGTTGAAAACAATCCCAACTAGAATGACAATGTAGAACCTCTTGAGATAAGGCGTGGAACAGCCATTGTATGATCCCTTCTGTCACCTCAAATTGTTCCCAAGCTGAAGATGCAGACTCTACTATAGAAAAGCATCCATTCTCTAAGTAATCCCAAGANGTTGCATAGCTACTGATGAGCACAAGATTATCCACACATAACTCCAGTGCTGAATGCAATTGGAGTGTATAAAGGAAGCAGCGTTTTATCTCAGAAGCAGAGGACGTGAGGTAGAGTTCACTTCCACTGTTGCAGATTACAACATCAAAGTCCTGTGGTTTCAAGTCTCCTTGAAGCAATGTTGTGTGGGTCTCGGATATTGTCATTGAGGTTGAGAGTATGAATCCTATCGAACCGCCTTTGCCTGCAACATCGATAATTGTTTTCACTACTGCAAGAAGATCAGAGGTTGTGCTGCAGTCTTTTCCGTCTTTGCAAAATTGGCATCTTGGAATCAGATTTCTCTGTTGATGTGCTGCTCTTCTGTGCCAAGGTTGCAGCAGATTTCTCTAGCTTAGCTTTTTGTTCACCTACGTTGTCTTCAGCGTCTAATTAATATCTAGACCGTTGCTACCTTCACTC